TGTCACTTAAACCAGACATTTTGCTTCCACCTTTGAGGAATCTAAATGAAGCACTTCTCTCCAGCAACTCTGGAAGAAGAATGTGTATAAATAGAATTATTATCTAAACATTTAGTATCATGGTTCCACAGAATGAAGATTGTTGACTTTAGAGCGACCCATGTGTACATAAGCCCCCTCTAATGTCCTTTATGGCTTTTGGTTCCACTGCGGCATGCAAAAAATGTCTTGCCCCACCTACAAGGTTGAATAAACAGCTGTGTCGACTGGCAGACAGGTTCCAACTGTTCACACCTTGGCCACAGGATCAGCCTACAGGAAACAGAGGTAATCATTATTAGCAGCAACAGAGGTGGAGAACAAGCTGCTGTAATGTCACTGAAGTCAACACCCCTTGGCCAAGTATGAACTGTTGCAGTCTTTAAATTGAGGAACGGTTTCAATAACTTGACCCTCGGTGCTGGAACAGTTGCGATGTTGATGACTGGACAGCCCAGCTACTGAGTGGACAGCCTAGTTAGTGGACGAACAAAGTTGGGAAAATGGCCTCAAGTTCTTTACTAATTGCAGGAAGCCAATTAAAACAAACAGTCTGAAAAACATGCTGGGCTTGTCCCTAGGGTTCTGAAGACAGATTGCCATTGTGTGACTAGAAACGGGCTCACAGATCACAGAGCTTATCTGAAGGCTCTGAAGTGTAGAGACCATGGCTAGAGAATTAAATTCCCTCTGCTGATTAATCCCTGTGATGTACATCCTACGTCCATTGCAATAATTCAGATTTACCTCTTCAACATGAGGTACTGGGGAATTATTCCAGAGTCCAATTCTCCTGGTTCCCCGTGTTTGGTCTGCAACAAAGCATAGCTCACTGATTACAGTCCACACCCATCTCCATGGAGACCACAAGACCCATATATCTATGATGACATTAGAACATAGTTGTCTGTTGACTTGTAACTCTTCAAAGTATTGCTCATGATGAAAAACCCTCCTTATCTTAGCATGAAGCATTGTGGGTCTGGTACCCATTTAGGAAATTATGAAGACTCGGAATACAGTTACTTTGTTCAAACTGGGTCTGGGTAAAGTATTCATAAAATGTTTTATTGATATGCATCATAAATCTGAAGCACACTGTGCAGTCAAAGTGGTGTTTGATTAACTTCAAACAAACTTGCAGGGACTGCCAAGTTGGTCAAGTGTCCACACAAGTGTAACGCCCTCACAAGTCTCATTGGTCAAGTGTCCACACAAGAGTAACACCCTCACAAGTCTCATTGGTCAAGTGTCCACACAAGTGTAACACCCTCACAAGTCTCATTGGTCAAGTGTCCACACAAGTGTAACACCCTCACAAGTGTCTCATTGGTCAAGTGTCCACACAAGTGTCACGCCCTCACAAGTGTCTCATTGTTTAAGTGTCCACACAAGTGTCACGTCCACACAATTGTCTCAAAAACGTGTAGAAACTGAACATATATTTTAATGAACAAAGAATTTTCTGGATTTCATCTTTTTATTCTTTGATACATTTTGGGGCCGGAATAGGCCCCGAAAGGTTTGTAGTATCAAAGAATAAAAAGAAGTTGAAATCCAGAATTTTTTTTATGTTCATCAAATAGCATCTTCTAAAAAGCCAATCAAGCATATATCTTAATGTATATATGATTAGACACTATTGCTAATATCCTTCTTCCAAGGCTAGTCCACTGCTGATTCAGGTTTTGGAAGAATAAACACTTATCAGTCAAGATTTCCACTATTCAATCAACAAAAGACATGTGGTCATTTTTCACCCCAAAAATGTTCCTTAAATACTGATTATGAATAATACCTTCAATCCATGACAACATCCAAATTAGACAGGAATATTGTTCATAAAACTATTCAACTGTACATTTGGAAGTCAAAGAGACTTATCAATGAATACAAAGGTACTGAAAAGCAGACACTTACCAGCCAACTACATGACAAAGAAAGAAAGCCTCTCCAAGGAGAATACAGACCTTTAAATTCTCCTTACCATTACTATGGCAACCAGAGATTCTACAGATAAGCTGTTAAATGATTATTTTGATAAACTGGTTGTGGTGGTGGTGTTTATGTTGGTAATCTGATAGCACCCTTGTATCTGCAGTATTGAATCGTTTCCCTGGTCAGTAATGCCACAACAGTCAGTGCCCTAATGCACTTACACTAATGCTTAGTCTCTGAATATATATAATTTTGATAGTAACAAACAAGCCCATTTAAACTGAAAAGGAGCCCTAGGGAGACCAGAGATTCAGACCCTGAGGAAATCTAGACTTGCTTTATTTAGGGCTTTAGCACTGCAGAGAGGCTTGGCAGTAGGGAAAAGAAATGTGGTTCAGGGACTGAGACATAATTCACTAAGTAGTCTTCGTACAGCTGTGTCTTAAGTGTTTCTTACAGTATACAACTTGTTATAATTACTTTGTGAATGTGCTTCATCCATAAAATACTCCTTCATTTTTTCATAATCACATATACTACTCAAAATAAGTTAAAGAACACCTAATTATTTCAGATCACTGCATGTATTGCCATGGTAAATTAACTAACTTTGTTTGAGCAATATATCAGAGTAATTGATACACAAATTTGTTTCCTTGCACTTATTCATATAGATTTACCATTAGGTGTGGTCTCAATAATGTTTTCATCAATATTAAGACCAATATGATACAAACCTATCATTCTATTTAGCTCTGCCCCCAATAACTATGATGTTATTAGTATTTTTTTCTATATCAATTACTATGACTACCCAGACGGAACATATGCCCTAAGTGACCATTGACAGGCTGTTGAATATTTAATGCCCCCTGAACATGATGAATAAGAGAAGTTCACTGATCCAAATTTCATTTAGTTAACACCAAAGAAATACCATGTTTTCATATATATTTTATTCCAAATTAAATTTTTGGCGGAGTTGAAAGGTAATAGACAAAAATGATTAACATATCTGATATAAATAGATATGCCAAACCATAACCATGGTAACCTCTGAAATGAAATTAAGGCTATTAAATGGGTATTATGAGCAGTTTTTCTGTGCTTGATTTAAGGAAATGAAACCTGCCTGTACCTGTTGCAACCTAAGGAAATAACCAGGTTGCACCTTCTGTCAATATGAAATTATATACAATGCTTGTTTGGTACAGATATATCAGGAACATGATTATAACAAAATAATTCCATGTCGAATAAGATCATTTTATCTTACAGCACAAAATGTCATGACATGAAGTTGAATGAACAGTAAGATTCATTTAGTGACTGCCCATGTAGTCATAAGTCACTGCTTCAAAGCCAGATTCTCGTACATAGTACAGTGAAATGTCAGCAATACTAGGACACAGGAACATTTTTCCATGACCCGTGAAGGTCTGGGTTAGAATTAACCTTCAGTAACCCATGCTTGTCGTAAGAGGTGACTAACGGGATCGGGTGGTCAGGCTCGCTGGCTTGGTTGACAAATGTCATCAGTTCCCAATTGCGCAGATCGATGCTCATGCTGTTGATCACAGGATTGTCTGGTCCAGACTTGATTATTTACAGACCGCCGCCATTTAGCTGAAATATTGCTGAGTGGCGTAAAACTAAACTCATTCACTCACATTGTTCCATGACATGGAGTCCAAGAATCAATAGTAACACTAACTTGCTCCTGTTTTCACATTCTCTAAAATAACAGTAAATCTGTACAGTTTGGTTAAGTTTTTGTAATGAATAAAATATGTGGTGTAATTATTTCTGGATAAATTAAGAGGGCTGATATCTTGAAAATACTAACATGCACTCGGTGCAAACTGAAATCAAGCCTCGATTTTACTTATTTTTATTAATCTGCAATGAGATAATGGAACATTTTAACTAATTAACTCTCCATGTACTTAAAACCCATAACCCCTGACCCCATCCAACCTTCACCTTATATTTCAACTTGATCTTAACTATCCAATATTTGCACCATTCCATGTAACTCAAAACCAAACTTTCACAACGATCTGTGACACCATCTATTCTTCTGAACCTACACACACACTCCCACTTACAGCTTTCCCCCCTTCCTTACCCCCATGATTCTCATTCACTACCCTATCTCCAGGCCTGAAATCATTCCCATGCCAACTTAGAGATGTCACTTGGAAGATTAATCAAGCTGATTTGGTGCAAGACCTGATAGACTTTATCCTGTTTCATCTGATTAAGATCCCTTTTTCTGCAATAAATTGTCTGGAAATTCAAGCAATTAGCAGGAAGCACTTCTCAGTATAGTCTGTCTGGAGTTCAAGTGAGAACTATGTAAGGGGCTTAGTGGTGAGTACCACTTTTCTTGAAATTATGGACCCTATAGTACCCTCTAAATAACACTTTATATGAATTTAATCAGAACTTGATCCCAAAGGGCATAAAACCTGTTCTTTCTAATTGTCTCATATTATCCTTTCAATGCCAGATGTTTTGAATAATTCATACTGGTAGTTTTTAATGGCACCATAACTCTTTCAACATTGATGTACAATAGAAGACAATCGAAGACAAAGAAAGTAAAGTATTAATTGTTAACCACTAGTACTAATCACTGTTTAGACAGTGGGGGAACAGAGGATATCAAGGAGGGAACCTTTTAATTTTAAAACAGACGCAAAATATGAAGTCAATATTTCAAGGTATGGACCAGAATGTCAACCAATAAGATACACAAAAGGCCTTTTTTGAGCTTGTATTTTTAACTAACGTTTCGTGGAACTTCATATAATGCAAACATACCAAACATTCTGGACATCAAGTTTCCACCAAAAGTCAGATCTTATCTCCCCCATTCTTTGAAACCCGCCATCAACGCACCCTCTCCCCCTTTAAACCACGCGTTTCTCTATCAACAGATTAGATGGCTGTATGTAGGCAAGCTCCCCCATGATGTCGCCGGCCCTGCGAACATCGGCTGGCGCTTCTCTACTCGTCGTTTTCGCAAGCAAACATTATTAACGAACAAAGGCGAAGCGCCAACACATTGAGGGCCGCGGCGACAACAGCGAGAAGCGCAACTTGCATGATTTTCACGGACAGCGCAACGCGAGAAAACAGATCCACTCTTTCTAAATATTGACGGTGGGGCTATACCTCACGACTGCCCCCCACAGCCAGTACAAGTACTGCAGTCTACTTAAACAAGATCTAAACCCAGAAAATTCTCCATCCAGACAAAAGGTACACTCAAATATCGACTGTTAAACTTTCACTTTAAATCAACTGACGTTAAAAGAAAACTGCCGACAACGCTGTTCCCACTTTCTTACCATTATGGAACCTATTTCATTGTTAAACTGACAGATCGCACTGGGAACAGTGGTAGTTTTTTAAAGGCACGTCTCAAATCATTCAAATCCTGTACTTACCGAGCTCACAATATCACACAAGCCTCTTGGATGTATAATTCCTCTCGATCTGTGTGATTTTTTTGCACTCCTAGCTGAGTAAGGCAAAGCGACCTCAGGCAAAGCAATCGCCGCAACTTCCAAGTCTTTCAGTAACAGCCGCGCTGGATGACATCAGCCGGTCACGTGACCCAATGGTAAACATGCACGAGATTTTCAGACGACTGGATAACGCGGTGTTACTGACAAGCGGCCGAGAGGTATAAAGATGGCATCATGTTCAAGAGCTTACGAGTGAATGTAATCAGCAGCTTCTAGGAACAAGGAGCGGCAGTTTGTTTCAGCTTAGCTTCTGGAAACTCCTCAAACATGAGAAATATTTGTCTGATATCTTTTTCAGCCAAAATCAAATATTATGTCATATTTATGAGATCGCGTTGACATTTCCAATGATCTCAGGACATAAGATGGAGTCTTGGATATTAGCTGAGATTACATTGGTTAATGTTTAATTTCCCCATTAAATCATTTTCCTTACAACATCGGAGGGTGAAGCGGTGATTACTTGCTATGATTGAAAGATAACTGTTAGAGCCCTCACAGACAAAGCCTTTGTTCAAACACATTCGAGAACCATGGTGTAAAATAGGATCGGGATCGTTAACACTGTAACAGTGAAGATATGTTTCTTGAATTACACCCGTCGTTTGTGGTCAGAATTATGTAAGAAATGTTTTATATAAATAAACATTAAAAAAGTCTCCAAGGCAATGCATTCTCAACAATTTAAATTAAATATGTCAGTTTATATAGAGTATAGCGATGGCTAACACACATCAATGACGGCCATGCTTGACGAATTAACCTTGTAATGTATCGCCAAGTAGATGTTTAATAGATGGTGGCGTCGGAAAATATCGTGCGTAAAACATCTTGAGGCTGTAATCACTTTATGATTATATTGGGATAAGCTGCAGGCTTTTTTAGACACGACAGACGCATCTCTTGTGGTAAACATATTTTCAACATGCTTTGAAGTGGTATATAGGTAGTTGTGATATAAAACTGCCAAATAAATATCAAAATACGTAATCTAGTACATGGTTATTCAGTGTATTGGTTTGAACGCAGTATTAAGCTATATATTAAAATGTTCTTCAAGTCTTGTCCACTTTCAGACGTTGACTAACCCGAAGATAAGTGGTGTACGATTGAATACATCATCATCATACATTGTACAACACTGTGTGTACATTTTGTTTCTGTGTGTGTCATTGTTCGCGCCTTTTGATGTTATGTACAACGTTGTTAACACATTTTGATATTGTATACGGCGTTGACACATTTCGATGCTGTATACAACGATGTGAACACATTTTGATATTGTATACGACGTTAAGATATTTCGATATTATATACAACGTTGTTAACACATTTTGATATTGTACACCATGTTGACACATTTTAATATTGTGTAAAACGATATTGACAATTTTTGATATTACATACGACGTTGACACATTTTGCTATTGTATACAACGTTGACACATTTCGATACTGTAGATACAATGTTAACACATTTTAATCTTGTATACGACGTTGACAAATTTTGATACTGTATACGACGTTGACACATTTCGATGCTGTATACAACGTTGTTAACACATTTTGATATTGTATACAGTGTTACACATTTTAATATTGTGTACAACGGTATTAACACTTTTTGATATTGTATACACCTTTGACACATTTCGATACTATATACAACGTTGTTAACACAATTTGCTATTGTATTCGACGTTAACACATTTCGATACTGTATACAACGATGTTAACACATTTTGATATTGTATTCGACGTTAACACATTTTGATACTGTATGCAACGTTGTTAACACATTTTGATATTGTATACGACGTTGACACATTTCGATGCTGTATACAACGTTGTTAACACATTTTGATATTGTATACAGTGTTACACATTTTAATATTGTGTACAACGGTATTAACACTTTTTGATATTGTATACGACGTTGACAAATTTTGATACTGTATACGACGTTGACACATTTCGATGCTGTATACAACGTTGTTAACACATTTTGATATTGTATACAGTGTTACACATTTTAATATTGTGTACAACGGTATTAACACTTTTTGATATTGTATACACCTTTGACACATTTCGATACTGTATACAACGTTGTTAACACAATTTGCTATTGTATTCGACGTTAACACATTTCGATACTGTATACAACGATGTTAACACATTTTGATATTGTATTCGACGTTAACACATTTTGATACTGTATGCAACGTTGTTAACACATTTTGTTATTGTATACGACTTTAACACATTTCGATACTGTATACAACGATGTTAACACATTTTGATATTGTATACGACGTTGACACATTTCGATACTGTATACAACGATGTTGACGCATTTTGATATTGTATACGACGTCTACACATTTCGATACTGTATACAACGATGTTAACACATTTTGATATTGTACACAACGTTGACACATTTCGATACTGTATACAACGATGTTATCACATTTTGATATTGTATACGACGTTGACACATTTTAAATGTGATGCAGCACGTCTTCTTCCACACAAGAGGGATGTTCCAGGTGTGGTCCTCCAGACAACTGAGATGCAGTGTGTTCCTCCTGACTGGTGGGATGCAGTTTTCCTCCTGTCTGGTGTGATGCAGTGTTCCTCCTGACTGATGGGATGTAGTGTGTTCCTCCTGTCTGATGGGATGTAGTGTGTTCCCCTGTCTGATGGGATGCAGTGTGTTCTCTCCGACTGATGTGATGCAGTGTGTTCCCCCTGACTGATGGGATGCAGTGTGTTCCCCTGTCTGATGGGATGCAGTGTGTCCCCCCTGACTGATGGGATGCAGTGTGTCCCTCCTGACTGTTGGGATGCAGTGTGTTCCCCCTGACTGATGGGATGCAGTTTGTCCCTCCTGACTGATGGGATGCAGTGTGTTCCTCGTGATTGGTGGGATGCAGTGTGTTCCTCCTGACTGTTTGGATGTAGTGTGTTCCCCCTGTCTGATGGGATGCAGTGTGTTCCCCCTGACTGATGGGATGTAGTGTGTTCCCCTGTCTGATGGGATGCAGTGTGTTCCCCCTGACTGTTGGGATGCAGTGTGTTCCCTCCTGACTGATGGGATGCAGTGTGTCCCTCCTGACTGATGGGATGCAGTGTGTTCCTCCTGACTGGTGGGATGCAGTTTGTTCCCCCTGTCTGATGGGATGCAGTGTGTTCCCCCTGACTGATGGGATGTAGTGTGTTCCCGTCTGATGGGATGCAGTGTGTTCCCCCTGACTGTTGGGATGCAGTGTGTTCCCTCCTGACTGATGGGATGCAGTGTGTCCCTCCTGACTGATGGGATGCAGTGTGTTCCTCCTGACTGATGGGATGCAGTGTGTTCCTCCTGACTGATGGGATGCAGTGTCTTCCTCCTGACTGATGGGATGCAGTGTGTCCCTCCTGACTGATGGGATGCAGTGTGTTCCTCCTGACTGGTGGGATGTAGTGTGTTCCTCCTGATTGGTGGGATGCAGTGTGTTCCTCCTGACTGGTGGGATGCAGTGTGTTCCTCCTGGCTGTTGGGATGCAGTGTGTTCCCCCTGTCTGATGGGATGCAGTGTCTTCCTCCTGACTGATGGGATGTAGTGTGTTCCCCCTGACTGTTGGGATGCAGTGTGTTCCCCCTGACTGATGGGATGTAGTGTCTTCCTCCTGACTGATGGGATGTAGTGTGTCCCTTCAGTTGTAGTGTACTTCTCTAGACTAGTGTATACTTCGACGGATTTATGATTTGGCTATTGCTCTTTAAAATACAAATAGAAACTCGCGGAGTTGTCAAATCTAATGCCAGCTCGTTATCAGACCGAGGGCCTGAGCTTGTAACGATCATGTACCGGGTTCCAGTTTCAGATGTGTACGTGCCCCTGTGATCATACACCGGAATAAAGAACAGCTAGACGTCTTTAAGAGAACCACAGAGTCGTACGTAAAGAGCTGAAGACCTCCTTGAATAAACAACTGCTACAATGGAAAGCACTGGATTGCCATGTCTAGATTCGATTATTTACCGACCGCCGTCATATAGTTGGAATAGTGTGATATCATGTATATACTATACGATACTATAAACAGATAAAACATGTTCTGTTTACATGGAGGACACGCTAGTTTACGCGTCCGTAGTCCACGTCATTGTATGTTGTAAGGTAAACACTACCAGACAGATTGTAAGCGGGTGGTGGCATTCGACCTCGACGCTGCGAGAAAGCCAACGTTAAAAGTCAGCGTCGTTTCTTTCAAATGTCATTGACAGGCCACTGGGAGTCGCGTGTGATAGCTTCCTATTTAGATGGCAGTTTAGTGAGAACAGACCACCGACAACGCCAGCAATGGGACCGACGTTCTATGTGACAATGTAGACATGATGAACATAGAGCCTCATACAGGTTGTTGAGGTTTCTCGGATGGAGGTGAGGTGAGGTGAAATTGGGTTATACGTCGTGCTTGGGAATATTTCGCTCATATGACGACGTGCATGCGTGTGTATGTGTATGTGCGGCTGCTTGTACTAGCCCAGACTGAAGCTGGTTTTATAGTGCTAACCCACTGAGATACCATGCGGCAGTGAAGCATGAATACCCCACTCAGACACATTATACTGACTCCGAGCCGACCAGTCCTTGTTGTACCCATTAATGCCAAGCGCCAAACAGGGACCAACAAGTGCCATATTTTAACGTCTTTTGGTATGACGCGGCCGGGGATCGAACCCGCGACCTTCCGCTCTCCACTACACCACGGAGGCGGTCTTCTCGGATGGAAAAAGGAAGTTGAGCGAATCAGCTACGATGGCGTCTTCGGTGTCCATTTGTGTACTCCAAACTCTGTCTTACATGTTGATATCACCACCGAATTGACGTCATCCGTTCTTAACACGAGAGTACGCCACAATAACCAAACAACATCTACCGGTATTTTGAAACTGTCTCACATTCTAATCGTGAGGGTGATGACAGGCAATTAGCACCTTTAGCTTTTTCAGATCATGCAGTTGAAATGGGTGTGGCGGTTCAAATTGGAATGGTTCATGTTAACCACCCTATACATTCTATTGCATCCTGACATATTACCGTGTTTAATTCAGGTCCCACTGTCACTCATGGTGATTGGCTGGTATTACAAATGTGTTTGGTGTTTTTGGCTTGTGATTGGCATCATGTCTTTGAATGGCATTTAGTGAGTGAGTGAGGTAAAATTTAAAGTCACATCGGCAATATTTCAGCAATATCGTGACTAAAAGTAGTTATAAATTCATAATACACACATCTAATATATAAACCCCTGTCAAAGAAGGACAGTCAAGTCACTAGAGTGAATGGCATTTAGAAGCGATACACAGCAGGGGTGGAAATAAGTTTAAAATTGCTAGTGTACTCGGTACAGTGGCACATGTAAAATCACTTGCCCTGATAATTTTCCCACTATACCAGCTGTTTTCTTGTTGATTTTTTTAAATAAACAACATAATTAACATTGGAAAGTCAACTGGACACCGATACAGTGTGATATAGAAATTTGCTTGCCCGACAGAAAAAAACACTGGACTCGGACGTCGGGCAATGGGTTATTTCCACCCCTGGACACATAAGGAAGAGTTTTATGGATGTCATCTTATTTATAATGATGAACACAACCTTTCAGAGTATATCCATACTCCTTCATCAGGTGAATCATTTCAGACATTGGCATGTTTGCTGGCTTGTTTATTGGTTAGTTGGTTGGCATGGCTGACTGGCTGGCTTGTTTATTGGTTGGTTGGTTGGTATCATGGCTGGCTGACCTGTATATTGGTTGGTTGGTTGACATTTTGGTTGGCTAGCTGACTTGTTTATTGGTTGGTTGGTTGGTCTGTTGGCTGGCTAGCTGACTTGTTTATTGGTTGGTTGGTTGGTTGGCCTGTTGGCTGGCTAGCTAGCTTGTTTGTTGGTTGGTTGGTTGGCCTGTGTGCTGGCTAGCTAACTTGTTTATTGGTTGGTTGGTTGACATGTTGGCTGGCTATGGCTGACTTGTTTATTGGTTGGTTGGTTGACATGTTGGCTGGCTATGGCTGACTTGTTTATTGGTTGGTTGGTGGGCCTGTTGGCTGGCTAGCTAACTTGTTTATTGGTTGGTTGGTTGACATGTTGGCTGGCTATAGCTGACTTGTTTATTGGTTGGTTGGTTGACATGTTGGCTGGCTAGCTAACTTGTTTATTGGTTGGTTGGTTGACGTGTTGGTTGGCTATAGCTGACTTGTTTATTGGTTGGTTGGTTGACATGTTGGCTGGCTATAGCTGACTTGTTTATTTGTTGGTTGGTTGACATGTTGGCTGGCTATAGCTGACTTGTTTATTGGTTGGTTGGTTGACATGTTGGCTGGCTATAGCTGACTTGTTTATTGGTTGGTTGGTTGACATGTTGGCTGGCTATAGCTGACTTGTTTATTGGTTGGTTGGTTGACATGTTGGCTGGCTATAGCTGACTTGTTTATTGGTTGGTTGGTTGACATGTTGGCTGGCTATAGCTAACTTGTTTATTGGTTGGTTGGTTGACATTTTGGCTGGCTATGGCTAACTTGTTTATTGGCTGGTTGGTTGACATGTTGGCTGGCTATAGCTGACTTGTTTATTTGTTGGTTGGTTGATGAAGTAGTCCTAAACGTCACAAACAATAAAGTTGTCATCCTTAAGAAAGTTTCTTGTCTGCTTTCTCCACAGGCAGCTGTAGCTATACGCCTATTGCTGACGATGGCGTTATATCAATCACGTGAATTACCACGTTTCATATGAATTTTTAATTCACATTATTTTAAAGAAAAGCGATAAGTTCATATTTTAACTGACATGTCCGTCATACATCACGCTTTATTCTCGTTTTATTTTTTCTGAAGTGATTTTACAATTACGAGCTGTTGGTTAAAAAAACACTTTGTTTTTTCTTTTCACTGCTAAGTACACCCGACACATAAACGTGATGGAATATTGATGTATTGAGAGATGCATGCACTTTTATCTGCAATTGTGCACTGAAAAATTAATTTGAGATCCAGGTGGTGGTTGAACCTCGTGGTCGGAAGTGTGGCGAGGTCCCTAAGTCCGCATGGTCGCATCGTCGGCGTAGTTGCACCGGCAAAGATGTCGGAGGTGTTAACGCTGGGGGGCGACATGTCAAAGTCACGAGAGACATTGTAAGCAGGTTGGCCTACGTTGAATTCAAGCTGGGGCAAAATGCTGAGACTCGAAAAAAGGCACGTGACATTAAATCAATTGAATTTTAACGATTAGGATATTCCACGAAAGAACAACTTGCGGAAAATCTTTTTGTTATTAAAAAAGTCTTAAGAGACATCCACTGAATTCCTGCATTGGTCCAGAGCAGGATGAAATGACGACGTAGGCTGGCGTGAGCTTATTGTCAGTTTGTTCCTGCAGGGGTTGTGGGAACGAGAAATAATGTGAATATTTGGCTGCATTTTGCTGGAAGCTGACTCGTCAAAAAATGACCTCGTTGAGGACCTTTGTAGCGACACGCTGAAATTGCACGCCTGTCGCTCATTTGTAGAGGAGATACTTTGAATAGTTTGTGTTTCAATTTGTTATGATGTTTTGTCATCAAAACAAATGTTAGAAAGGTGCCCTTGTCATAAATGTTTAAAACTGTATGCAAAATTGCACTTTTCATTTTACCTTTTCTATTTGTACATGTCCAAAACTGATAAAACACAAGTCGACACCAGGGTCGGGTATATACTACATGGAAACTTCATTTGTTGAGTACAATGTTTTCACGGATCCCCTGTATCGAAGTTTATATCGGATTATAGCGAGGTAGTGCTATAACGAGGCGAGGCAAGTTCGACCTTCTGAAGTAATGGTTTAATAACGCCAGTGTTGGCTATACAGGCGAACTTCTCATAATGCAAAATGAGGTGGGGATTCTTTGGAACGTGATGTAAACACAACAAATGGGCATACAATAAATGAAGTCGAGATCTATTGGCCAGAATATATATCACTTTGGTTGGAAAAAAACAACGTTTCAGTAGAAAGGGGGTCCGGTGACTGGATTTTTTGACAGTCTGTATTTAGAGCTATTTCATGACAGTTTGGGCTGTATGGAAGGGAAAATGATATAGTTCTTGGACTGAGATAGACAAAGGCGGGGATCTGTACGGAAAGTTGACATAGGAATAATACTTCCTTACACTCAAAAGCCAACG